ATAAAAAGGAAAGAGAGTTGTAGCAACAGTACAAAGGAATCAATCATCAAAAAGTGACTAAAACTTTATCCCACAAAAGTCATCACACACTTTTAAAGAAAAAACTCAGTCTATTAGTAAATCTAATTTTTCGTTAAATTAACATTTAGTGGAGTTTTCTTTAGCCTCTACAATAGCTTTAAAAGGTTGAAAATACGTGTAACTAGTTTTTTTTTTGTCAGGTGAAATTCGCGCAGAATATTTTTTTAAAATTTTTACAGAAACTTTTACAACACTCAATTGTAAATTTATGAATATTTCCACAAAATTTATAAAATTTCTGATATGAAGTCCTTCTTTTAAGCATTTTATCACATATTGCACAGTTCAATTGAATACAGTAAACTAATTTGACATATTCATTACTGATTTACCTCTTATGAAGACAAATAATCAAATTTGGTCTATTTTGTTACGACCGCAAGTCATTTTTAAATGATAAAATAAAATATTATGGAGTTAGCAGGCAAAAATTAAAATATAATTTTGCTATTATAGGTTTGATACTAAATTTCTAATAAAGAAATAAAAAATTAAATGAAAAATAATTAAATTAAAGAAGCAATTGACGATAATTTTAATTCTGAGATCCAAAACATTTAAATGTAAGATGACTTTCGTGGGTTAACATTTTTGTTGCTATTTGATTAAAAAATTAACTTTTGCTTTGTTTTTAAAATATTCCGTGCAGTTTTGCTAAGAATAGATTATACATCTTATTATCAAATACCCATTGTGAAATATTCATTTTAATTATTGAATTTTTATTTCCTATTTCAATATAAGTTATAAGTGAGTGAGCACTTTTGGGAGCCACTGTAATTATTAAAAATTATTGATATATAATCACCTGAAACGGTTTTCTTTTCCTTAATGAAAATATATTAAACAATACTTATTCAAGGTTTTATTGGTTCTTCTGATTTTGTCATTTTGTAGGTACATTTTGAGCAACTGCTACTTAAAGTAACAAATTAAATTCAATAAAAACAATTAAAATTATTCAATAAAAACAATATATTCTGCAAGCTAAACATATTATTTTCTCCACGTTTTAATTTTTTAAAAACTAATGTTGTACCAAAACATTAAAAAATAATAAAAAAATATCTTGTAAAAAATTAATTTTTTTTCAAGATATGTTTAAAAAAATGACGTTTTGAATAAGATATTTTATAATACAGACACTTTTCTTGTACACATGCTAAACTTTATAAGAAAAAAGGAAAAAAACACAAAGCTGAAAATTTTAAGATTTTTACCTGGAAAACCTGGAAAAATCAGGGAAATTTTAAATCTGTTTTGAGTGGCCACCCTGTGTATTACTTCATCGTTTTTTCTTCTTTTTAAGATTATTTCCAAATATTATTTTTTTTTTTATTTGGGTTTAACAATAAAAAAACGACTTTTTGTAGTGATTCAGAAAACCGGAAAAATCAGTTATCCGGAATAGCGATGGTCCCGATCGTTCCGGATAATCGGTTCTCTACTGTACTAATGTTATATATAGCAGGAAACACCAATCTTATCATCTAGCTGTGACTTTGCTTCAACTAAATCCACTGCTTCCCAAGGCAATGCTGCTGTTTTTCTTTAACAATTGCAAACTTTGTTACTCATTACTTGCTTTCGTAATCCTAGTTTTTTGAAATATATGTTTTTCTTTGCAAATTTTATATGAACACTTAATCATCCTAATTGTTTGATATTAAATGAAGAATCAGAAAATCATTGTAAAGCATCATTATCTATAATTTCCTTACACTTACCAACACTGCAAATTTATAACATGTGTTCTTGCTTTTATTTGTCTATGCTTAATGAGTAAAATGCATTATGTTTCTGTGCAAAATGAAACTCTTAGGCATCCACGCCTAATTCATTTTTATTTTGTCTCCTGTTAACAATAAATCAAGTATGTTTGTCATGATGTTGGGTATTTTTCATTTTAAAGCTTACGTGATTTTTTCTCTTATAAAAGACGAAAGTTGTGTTTCTATAATGGTTTAAAACCAAATGTATATAAAACTTTTTGAGTGATTTCATGTTGTTCAATAAACATCAGAAGTTTTATGCCACTAAAAATAAATTATTTTAAAAATGAGAGATGCAAAAAAGTTTACCCTTTCAGGTCTTTCATCTCTTACATGCCATAAGTATAACAGGCATGATAGTATAATAGGCACAACCCCCCCCCCTCTTATTAAATTAAATATTAAATGAAAAAAAATACTTGTGGTAGAAATATTCAAAATAATATATTAACTACTTTGTATTTGTATTGTTAAATTCTTGTGACTTCTTTTAATGATTGTAACATAACAATTGAGTATATTATTCTATTTTTGCCTGCACTTAACATAGCCACTTGGTTTTTAGGCTTTATGTAACAATATTTAAATTATAAATTTTATGTCAGGGTGAGCAAAATATTTTACCAAATTTATTAAACTAAATTCTGATTTATTAAACTAAGAAACAAATGTTCAAAGCATAAATTTTGTTTTTACTAATAAAATTATTACTATAAAATGTATCTTTGATTTAAGATCCTGAAGAGTTTAAACCTATGAAAATAAAAGAGTAATAGATTTAATTTCTGAAACACCTTTCCTATGTTTTATTTCAAACAACTAAAGTTCCAAAAAATTTTTTTTTTCCTTTAGTAACTCAACGTAGAAGTTTTATTCATTTCAAGATCTAAAATATGCATTTTCTCGTAATAAACAAATTATTGTTTTATATTCTCCTTTTTAGTACCAGCAAAAGTTTAGTTCGAAAATTTCAATAGTTACTTTTAAAAAATCTCTTCTAGTGAAATTGGAAAACTTTTCTAATTTCAGTATTGAAATGGTATTTAACTGTTGTTATTTATTGTGCTCAGAAATATTATAGTGACATTTGTAAATCAAGCAAATATTTAACTGCTTGATGTCCCTTAATAACCTTTACAAATTGCAGTTTGTTTATAAAGTTTTAAAAAATAAAAATTTAGCTCTGATCATAGATTTAACCACATCATGATTTTTTTATGTTTCAGAGACATTAATATTTGTAGTAATTAAAATTGGGATATTAAAATGAAGGATAGTTTTGGCTACAGGATTATGGAAGATTAGATTGCTTTTTGAAAATCACAGAAAAGTTTAATTTTGCTTTTTTTTTGTCTGTTTTATTATTTCTTAAACTTTTGTTCTCTTTTTTTTCTAAATTTTTCTATTAGTCCTTACTTTGAGAAAATCCTTAATTTGATTAATATTTTAATAATTTTTATAATATTTTTCTATATTTGAAATAAGCTTTTCATCTGCGTCATAATAGAAAATGTAACTTAATTATAAAATTTCAATTGCTTGTTTAATTTTGTGTTTTATTGAATAAAATATTATATTCCTATCTGTGGAAGCTAACATAGCTGTTGGTTGGCGTTATCAAGAAATCAAGAAAACATAATAATAAGAATAATTTAAGAAAATACATCCCTTGAAAATTAAGAAATTCATCATGATTTTTTGATAAGAACCATATATGGTATAAACGCATTTTTTTCTTTCTTTATGTTTTAAGCTTGTAAAATTTGCATTGGTCTTAAATAGTCTATGCTTTATTGGCTATCTATGGTGAATTTTAGGATTAAATTTACCTTTTTCTGACAATATAAAGGAAGAAGGTCAATATAAAGTATTAAGGTAGTAGAAGAAATGTCTTTGTCGAGACTAACATGCAAAAATGCTGATGATAATTTAACAGGCAGTTAAAGTTTAAATATTTTGGTTAAAATGTTTTTTTCTATAATAAGTATTTGTAATTTTTAAACAATTTTGTACTTGTTTTTTCATATTTTTTTTATTTATCATTTTTTTTAATTGAAACCAATGAGTTATGCTAAAAGTTTTAAAATACAAATAAAAACTAATATATGATTTTTGAATTCATAATTTTATTTTGTTTTCTCAGAAAAAACATATTGTTAGTATGACTGTACAAAAGTGACTAAAAAAACTAAATGAAAAAAGCTGTGATTTCTATTTAATTCTAATAAAATATGTAATTTCAAAGACTTTTGTGCTTTGTTGACCAGCTCAACCACAGTAATAAAGTAGTCATTTGTTTGTATCTAGTTTCATAATTTTCAGCTCCAAATTGTCTATTTATGTTACTTTCCATAAATGTTTAAAAATGTATAGTTTGTGTTATCGTTTAATTTGTAATAACATATTCGTGTTCAACTCACATAGTCAGAATAGCAAGTTCATGGACATTTTATTGAAATTTCACTATTATTGAAGGATATCAATAAAGCTTAAAATTTAATTTTCTGTTTGTCAGGATGATGAAGCAGAGCCAGAAAATGGTAAACCTAGAAGTTGGGATGATGAATTTGTGTTGAAAAGACAGTTTTCAGCTCTAATACCTGCTTTTGATCCAAGGCCAGGAAGAACAAATGTTAATCAGATATCCGATTTAGATATCCCAGCTCCAGGTATTTATTTTTAAAACTTTTTTTTTGTATGTAAAATGTACTAGCCTTTTTTTCTTTAAGTATCTAAATTGTCTAAACATTACTATATTTAGAGATATTTATTAAAACCGTAATTTTAGGTAATATCGAATTACAGTACTGTTTACAATTTCATATGTGTAGAAGAATAAGTGTTTTTACAGATTACAGGATGTCAATGCTTGGATCTGATGTCATTTGCAATCTAGTGCTAATCTGAAAGCTTTGTTGCTATAATAAATGCTTAAACCTGAAAAGCTCTTATGATCTTCTCTTCATCAGGCATAGATTTTATTGCAGTTTGATTTTATTACCTTTGGTTACAGATCGTTTTTGCATTGCATTTGACACTATTAAGCTTTACCTTCAATCTATTACTGGATTTCTGAAAAACTAAAATAATTGTTCTGTATTCTTTGAAAAATGTGTGTTATTGTCTAATATTTTGGAAAAGATTATAAAGAAAATATCTGCCCTTAAACTTGACCATATATATTCTTATTGTTTTGTGCAGAAATATTTTTTCTGATTGTTATGTAAAAAATATTCTATCAGTTTTGATAGTGATAAGAATTCTCCAGACCATGTGGCTACAAATAATTTGTTTAAAGGAACAGTTTTGTTAATTTATGTTTGTTTAGATTGAGAAATAATTGTAAAAAATTAGTTCATTAAATTAACTTCTCCATTATTTAGGTTCTGATGTTTTAGAGTTGGATGACATTCAGGTATCATCATTACAACCCAAACTTATATTACAACTAAAGGGGCCTAATATACCAGGTGTAAGTTAATCCTGTCAATTCTTTTCAAAAATTGAGTTAGCCTATTCATTCTAATTTACAATAAAAGGAAAGTGTTTTCACTCTACATTTTTTATCAAACAACTTTATAAAGGAAATCAAAACACTTAACCTTCCAAGTATACCCTTGGGCAAAATTGTATGGAAATTTCTCTATTATACACAATTTTCCCATTGAAAAATATGAGAACTAGTGTTTTTTTTATGTTGGAAAGTTTAAAAAAAGCCAGGACTAATGCCTAATGAGTTCACAAATTTTTCTCTGATAGCCACAGTTATAATCAGTTGGCAAACAGATAAATCTCTGTTTGCCAACTTATATGAGCTTTGTCTATGTTGTGTAAACACATCAATAGGTTAAAAACTATTTATTGTTGATTATTACTTCAAGTATAACTTCTAATTTATTCTTTAAATTTCTTGTGGTTATTGCTGTTCAAATAATTAAGTCATGTATCTTTTATATGTGTCTAAAACACAATTATCTGAACAAAGATCTTACAGTGTTTAGTTGCGCATGCTGACCAGTTTATTACTTTTTTCCTCTTCTGCAATCCAGACTGTTCTGCTCATTATGCATACCCTTCCTTCCTCCATACTCACCCCTTTTCTTCTGTGCACGTCATTCCAAATGCCATGTGAAGTGTGGTCAAATATAATGTCTGAGAATCTGATTGTTACAAAAAGCAATCCAATGCACTGAAGTAATCGTAATCATAGAACAAATAGAGAGTTTATCTCATCTGGCAATCATAAGCTATTCTGAGAGTAAAGAAATATTTATTATCATTTTTAAGTTTACTATTCCAAAGAATTCTTTTTCATCAAAGTTTCTAATAAAGGATAGAAATTTTTTCTTGTATTGAGTGCTGTCCAGATTTCTCTGCGAGTGCTCGTAACTGACGAGAGGACATAGTCGTGCACACGGAGACTAAAAAACATTTAAAAATGTAGAAGGCAATGCAAGTAGCTGGATTGGCTGGATTTAGACCATTGTGTAAAAAAATGTTATTTAAACTACATTTTAAACTAAATGATCTTCGTATAAAAAACAAGCAGATTTTTTTAAAATTCTTTTTTAACTTAATTTTTATTATTTATATAAATACTTATAGCTTGAATAGAACAAGGAGGATTATCATACCTTTTGCAGAATGCTTTTTACCTCATTTATAATTGAACATATGGTACTTAGTGGACCTTTATTTTAGAACATTTTTTTATTTCTAAGGAAAACTTCCTTACTACTTTAAATTTTCCCTTTCATGTTGCAAATTTTGCTGCATGTTAGTTGTATCTATTTTTTATTCTCTAATATTAACAACTATGTAATTCTAAAATCTTTGCTATTGGAACTATGCAGGTGTGCACTCTAGTGTTGTCTTGATGAAGGAAATTTTTTCCTAAATGAGAATATTCATCTTCGGAATGAATCTTAAATAAATCATAAACTTATATAATAGAAAAATCATAAAAGTTAAGTTGAATATCATTAAAATTATAGAAACTAATACAATGTGGGAAAATGAAAATTATGACAACTTAGCACAACAAATAAGTTTTCGAAGTCTTACCGGATATATACTTTATTTCTTTGATTGATTATCAGAGCATGATTTATAGATAACACTGAAATATTTTTCATTGAATTATAAATGAGTAATTGAAATTTCAATGGCCATATTGCCAAACATAAATATTGCTCATCTACCAACATAATGAATAAATCTAAACTGAAACTAAAAAAAGGAAAGAAAAATACCAAAAACAAAATATTTCTTGATTAACAGTACCACTGGCGCCATCTGTTATTGAAATTATAAAAAGAGTCAAAACATCCTGCCACCCAAGGATGTGGAAATGTTATTTTTTTATCAATGGACATACTTTACAGATAGGCCTGGTGGTTTCTCCATGAGCTGTTCTTAATTTATCAACCCTAATAATACCATCGTTTCCAGGAAATACCTGCACAACTCGTGCAAAAGTCCACTTTAATGGAGGTGGGACATTGTCATTTTTGAGAAGAACTAAATCTCCAACATGAAACTCTGAGCCAGAAACAGTCCATTTAGACTTTGCTTGCAGAGTTTGGAGATAATCTTTACTCCATTTGATCCAAAATTGAGCACGGAGTTTTTGAATTAAAGACCATCTAGACTTGAGACACATGGATGGTGATGGGTCTCTCTCAGGCAATGAAAGAAGTGGAGCACCCACAATAAAATGTCCAGGGGTAAGAGCCTCTAGATCACTTATTTCTGATGTTAATGGACATAACGGTCGTGAATTGAGGCAAGCCTCAATTTGACACAAGAGCGTAGCCAGTTCTTTGAAATTCAGTGTAGCTAAGCCGCATACTTTCAGCAGGTGTCTCTTGGTTGATTTAATATTAGACTCCCAGAGTCCGCCAAAATGAGGTGTTGCAGGAGGAATAAAGTGCCAAGAGATTTGAAGATTGCTGGAAAAATCTTGAACTGAATTGTCTCAAACAATTTTGAACAGAGACTTCAAATAGGTACTGGCTCCTTTAAAATTTGTGGCATTATCACTGTATACATCAGATGGCAACCCTCGTCTAGCAATAAATCGACGAAAGGATGCTAGGAAGGTTTCTGTTGACAAATCAGAGACAAGTTCCAAGTGGACAGCCTTCGTAGCAAAACAAATGAAAAGTGCAATGTACGACTTTAAGGTGACTTTAGATCTTGGTAAATTTGGTTTGGTTGAAATTGGACCTGCAAAGTCCAACCCAACACGTTGGAAAGGTTTAGATGGAATAACTCGATCACGAGGCAAATCGGCCATGAGCTGGCTTGAAGAAACAGCATTTACCTTTAAACAAGTTATACAGCCTCTGAGGATCTTTCTTACTGTGTTTCTCCCAGCTGGAAACCAAAATTTTTGCCGAATTAAAGATAAAACTACAGAAATGCCAGAATGTAACGAAAGCTTATGATAATATTCTATAATAAGCGTGACAAAATGATGACTTTTCGGCAAAAGAAAAGGATGTTTAGCCGACAGTGACAGATTTGAATTTTTGAGTCTCCCACCAATTCTTAAGACCTTGTCAGAATCTAGAAAAGGTGAAAGGGTTATTATTTTAGAGTTTCTTGGAACACAGCCTTTATTTTTGATTGACTTAATTTCAGCACTGAATTCCACCCTTTGAATTTCTTTAATAATTGCGATAAGAGCATTATCCAGTTCACAAACTTGAAGGCAACCGTTTATCCGAT